GCTGGTCTAAGGATCTTTGCCTGTTCCATCACTGAAAAGGAGATGGACGAATATGGAAAAAAAAATTATGATACAATATGCAATAATCTATACCTACTAGTGATCGGCCAGTGGTCGAAATTCGAACACAATCAAAATACAAAGAGATCTTTGAACTAACAATAGCAAATAAACAGAAGAGTATATATGCGTATGTGTGTTAAATACATGGTAGCATGTGCAATGTTTTTTATTGATTTATTGTATTTTTTTAACATAATTTAAAAAAATATTAGCTGTAACACTCCTTCTCTATATAAACTATAAGTGTGCCCATTTTCATGCTCCTTCGTTTGCGCAATTTTTGTAAAAAGGGATACAAAAGTTTTGCTACACGTATTTTTCTAAACAATTGAAAAAAGATCATTGTGTACAAGACTTTCGTTAACAATTCCTTTTTTATTCAAAACATTTGCGTGATTACTTATTTATACATAATGATAAACGTTTTCTCTTCACAATCTGCAGTTATGACGTTACATTTGTTTATGTAAATTTATTTAATAAATATATTCTTTTCTATTCTATTCTACTATAAACAATTTTGTATAAAAACAATGTAACTAATCAAAAGTGATTATATTAAGTTTATTTGAATAAAGATTATTTCCTTTTTATGGACAAAAGAACAACGTGTCAATAAAATATATTCTGTTCTATTCCATTGTAAAAAAATCTTAGTACATAACCAAAATCGTGTATAAAGCAAAGCTACTGCAAAAAATCTTCTAGAACAGATAACAAATTTCAATCAGAGCGTTACATAGCTCCCAAGTGATACATAATTATTAATCATCTCACGACAGTTCCGCAGGGCGTCGTCCCGCCCCCTGTCGGGGCATTTACATAACAATCACACGATCCATCCCTCGACGGCTATGTGTTCCCTGTTAATAGATACTGCACAATGTGCCATTAACGACCATGCGATGCGACGATCTCCCGTTGCGGGCGTGCTGCGTGACTGCTGCGATTTAAGTTGACAGTGTGAGCGGTTCTTTATATGATTTTTTTATGGATGACTGACTCACTTACATGAAATTTATCATTATATTTCACCCAATTTATATAATATCTTTAAATTATAGATTATGTTATTCTGATGTATAAGCTATATTAATGTAGAGTTTCATCCAAATTTGTTAAGTAGTTTTTCCGTGAAAGAATAACAAACATCCATTCATCCGTCTATCCATGCATCATCATAAATTTTCGCTTTCTTCTGTCGGTATTATCCATCACAAACTCGCGATAAGTGCAGATAGATAAGAAGAAAGAAAGTTAACCAAGATATTCTTTAATAGCTCAGTAACTAAGAAGAATTAAGATTCTTTAGTTAAAGAAGGTAAAAATGCATCTGAAAACAATTTCGCTGACTTACTAGATTTATTCATCCGCTGTGACAGGAACCCCATCTTCACAACACGTAGCTGGATGTCGGGTGGATCTTATCGAACGATCATTTTGTTCCACCCCATGAACCACGTTGAAATCAAAAATACACATATACCTACTGGCAACACAGATACTGAACAGAAAATGTATTTTTATTATTGTCATAGATATTGAATTCTCCAGAATGGGGTAGAAGGAGATCGTTAGTAAGTCAGGGTGACCTACGCGGTTTTTTTTTTATAACATGATGATGATATCTTCTTCATTTTTGTGCAACGTCTGTTGAAATAAGTTTTGTACTGCCTTTCTTCATTAGTACGCACACCCAAAACTCCAGGTCGCGGTAGTATACTAACGCGACCTGGACTCCGCAATGGCGCTCGTAGTTCTAGCCCATTATAAAACCATACGTTGTACGTTGTTGTTGTATGGTTTTATAATGAGTAAGAATCCCATACGGGGTGTGTGTGTCCCTCTGGCTAAAGGAAGGTCTTTTGAAGATTTGTCTGTACACGTAAAAAGATACTTAGTTTAAAAAACTGATATTGAATAGCCCTAAAAAATATTTTCCAGGAAATGGTAAATAAATAGCGCTGCGTAGATAAATCCGTAGGAAACAACTAGTATAATATTATATCAACAATCCTATAATAAAACACCCTTGTCAAAAAAAGAAAATAAATATTATATTATATTATATTGACATACCTGTAACGAAATTCAATTGACAAACTGGAACAAATAAATGTGTCGATTTACCATTTTGCTCTCAAATTTCGTTAAGGCGCTTTCAAAAATGAGACTAACAATGTTAAATAAATAGTGTATAGCAAAGTTGCTGTTTTCGTCTGTTCACTCCTTCGCATACTTTTCCTATACCATACAATAGATTTTGATAGAAATACAATTATTTTGGAGATTATCCTTCGGAAGATTATTATCATAATCTAATTTGTATAACAAATTAACGGACCATCCAATTGCAAGTGGTAGGTAAACTGTATCGCGAGAAACTTGCCTATTGCTCTTTTAAATAAATGTTGTTTTAAGTAAATACACATCAACAAAGAAGGGGCATGCTACAGACAACATAGAAACCGCTAGGTTTTTTAGTGCAATCAGATAATATTGTCAGCATTATGAACTTTTAAGTTAATTTCTATTAAAACATTTATAAATTCTACAATTTTATAACAAGCATGCCTAGTGTTAATTTTAATTGTTACATTTTGCTCCATTTTCTTCAATTGTTGTACTACTACTGTTAGTCTGTTACATGCAACTTCGTGCGGGTATCATTTAACTTACTATATTACTAGCTACCCACCCCAGCTTTATATATGTAATGCATGTATACATGTAAGTATACCCGTTTGCAGGGGTATAAATGTATTAAACACATAAACTTTCTTCTAGAATCTAAATTCTACTGCTAAAAACTGCATTAAAATCCGTTGCGTAATCTCGTAAGACAAAGTGAACAGAAAGCACCAGAGACTTTATATTTAACTATGTAAATATGAAAATAAATAAAATTTCTAAAATAAAAGCAGACTAAGTTACTCCTTACAATATTAGTAATCTGAGAGTGAAAGTCCCGTTCAAATCGGACCAGCCGTTTCAGAGATCCAAACGGACAGATAAATTTTTTTTTAATTAGTGTCTCAATGTCGATACCGTTTATACTTACATATGAATTTAGAGAAAACCTTTTAATTTGAAATTTCAAATGGACATCAATTTTATTTATTTCTATACATTTTCACAATAGCCTTAAAAACAACCGAAAAAAACACTTTACTCGTACAATATTTTAGTTTCAATCACAGAGACAATATTACATATTTGAATCAACTGCCAAAAGGAGATCCTCAACTCAACAGTAGATATATTGGTTTGTTTGATTTTGTGTATTCATTTGAGACGTACAAATAAAGCATTATTATTATAAACATCTACTTATGAATCGATGAATGCATGAGCGGTATTAAACATTATCCTGGGATGCACTTCAAGTTGCATCGTTATCCGTGATGACTAGTTGATTCCTTGCGTTCGTCACTCGTCATTATGCACTCACGAGCTGAGTGCCTCCCGGCTCACAGAGTCCTTAATTTGTTTTCAAATAAACTCTCAATGCTTTTGTCATCTCTACTAACAATAAATACATGTTATTTTGATTTGATATGTATAAATATTTTTATGTTTCAAGCTATGGTTATACAGTATATTATTAGTATTCAATCAGTTTCGTATTTTAAACATCATTTTAAAAAATATTTACTTAAAGTACAAAAATCTTAAACGTGGCAGATAAATACAATAGTCATATATACATATATATTGATTAAATAAATAAATATATTCAAGCTATATTATATTACACAAAAGTCTTTCTATCAACACTTATTTTTCTTCTATTTATCACACATACTTATAATTCATTCATTTAATTGATTCTTCATTTTATATATTTAAATTCATCACGAATGCTATTTCTTTTTTTCAAGTGGCTCCACTGAAAATCAGCGCTGTAGTGACACGCTGCGGCACCAGCTGAGTGGAAGCCTTTTCAGCATAGACGATTATTAGTATTTAAGTTTTCTTTTTTACTCTGTACTCTTTTTTATGCTGAATAAAGGATTATTATTATTATTATTACATGTTTGTACATCCCGATTTTGTATGATTCATTTTAAGATAAATAGGTAAAGTCTGTTACTAGTAATTCATTCTATCTTCACAGGTAATTTCATTAGAATCTATTCAGCCTGTTTAGTCCTAGAAGGGTGACATTTTATTACTAATATTAATTAGAATGATTAATTTTACCGACTTAGCTTACGATCGCATCACGTAGCAGTCGTAAGCAATTTTATATTAATTGAAACAAAACAGATTGTATCTGTGCTAAAACTGTAAAGAGGAAAGATTTGTAGATATTTTTTTAATAGATGATAATGGAATGTTGCACCCGCCTGCGCTAACGGTATATGCTGGTGGGGTACCAGTGGAAGATGATAAGACGAAGACGAGATCAGATCAGTTAGCCCATCGCGACAAATTCATCAGGAATTTATCATGATGGTTCAGGGGGAACTGCATGGAGGTCGACCTGACATGGTACATTGCTAGCATGAAATAGTAACAAACATCTATCTATTCATACTTACTTTAACATTTATAATATTAATATGTAATATTATGTTACCTGTGACATTAGTAAGGTTCTAGTGGATATAGTAAAAGAAGTTTGTCATGAAAAAATCATAACAAAATTTTTACGTTCATAATGAGCAAAAATGTTATTTATGAATAAAAGATTTTTGAATTTGAGGGTCCTGTCCAACCAGCGTATACCATCATGGAGGCGGCATCATACCATTTACACCACCATGCATTTATCATCCACTAAAAACAACACGTTATATAATTCAAGACATACAAATCATACATACTACTAACCACAAACACATCCGTTTGCTTCGAATTATTGATAATACTGATAACAAAGTCACTCAGCCCAGACAAAAGATATCTATGTCGTAATTGCCCAGCATATTGGTGAAGACGTTGTTACTAAACGTACGTGTGAATAATCGAATATTATGTGTTAACGTTGAAATGGGTGTAAAGAATAATAACGTGCTTGAAGTGGTCTCCGGTTGGGAGGCAGTAGAACTAATATTTAAGTGCGTATTTATTGGACTGTGGCAATGCATAAAGATATCCGTGAAAATGCTGTGGAAGGGGCACAGGAGGAAATTGTTAAGAAATCACTCAACGATTGAGTTGACTGTGGACTCCTCTATTGGAACTCATTGTTATATTAAAGTTATGGTACGTCTTAAGTTCAAAATTATACATTTTTTTACATCCTACATTACTGACGACCGCGGTGGTCTAGCGGTTTAGCACACCGTTTTACTTACTATAGTTGCGGGTTCAATTCCTCACATAGTACAAATAATTGTATTCATGAGTATGATTGTTTGTATCGATCTGGATGTTTGCTATGTATATTATGTATGCATTTACAAAAAATATGTCTAAGTATTTATATCAGTTGTCTAGTACCTATAACACAAGCTCTGCTTACCGTGGGACTAGATGGCGTTGTGTTAATGTATTTATTTATTAACTCCTTATTACACCAAATATACATACAACGCAGGAATTAAACTTAACAGAGTAATGTATGTACAAAAGGAGGCTTCCAGATAACCTTTGGATATAGAAAAAAAAGATAGAAAGTGGTAGATGGCTCTTGAATTGAATAGTAATATAGATATAGTTAATAATATAGGAGAATGATATTACAACTGAATAATAGATATTATATTTATATACAAATGCAATATATATATACATATATATACACACAAATTTATAGGTAGGTAGTCTGAAAATGATCCGTTATCTTAATTTTATTTTAAAATCTACTGTATATAATTTTATATATGTGAGATATACTTGAATACGCTATGTGTATATCTAGCTGACCTATCAAACTTTGTTTAGCCACACAAATTAATATCGCTATTAAAAAATACATAATAATACAATTTAGGGTACCCAGACCTACTTATACTGAATATACATACCAGCTTACCTGGTATAACATCCAGTTACACAAAAACGTGTAGTTCTAATTGCTAGTAAATTTGAATGAATATTTTATTCCCTTATTACTTTATTATGTGAGGTATACATGTAATATTATCATATATATTAATACATGAAGAAAAAACTTTTAAACCCTTTTTGCGAAATTGCTCTGAGGAATATAAAATTTCATACACTTGTAGTTTAAATGTATAGAGACGGAGTGCACAAAATGCAGTGTTTCTCTTTAATGTATAAACTTCCTATAAAATTTCATATTGGATTTTGAACCAATCTGTTTACAAACAAAATAGATGAAGGATTGTTAGTAATGTGGACTAATGAATCCATTGCTAGCAATGTACTAATTCAGGTTGATCTCTACGCGGTTCCCACTGGAAAGTATTGTTATTTATTACTAGTGAATTTGCCAAGATGGGTCAACTGACCTGACCTCATGCTCATCTTATCATCTTCCACTGGTGCCCGGCTAGCGTAAAATGTTAGCGAGTGCGGGTGCCCCATTCTACTATCATCATTAAAAAAAAACAAATATGATCCGAGTACTAAGCAGAGGGATCATCTAGTACAGTGATTCCCAAAGTGGACGATAGCGGTCATCTTGTTGTTTTTACTTTATGTTTTTAACACTAAACTTTACTACAGTTAGAAATTTACAAAAAATCAATACCAGAAAGAAAGGGGAGTCTACCCAAAACCAAAAAATATGGCAAGGAGTCTACGACACAAAAAAGTTTGGGAACTTCTGATCTAGTATAATATATATACATGTAGTATATATTTCTTATGCCGTATCTTAGAGCAGGGATGGGCAACACACGGCCCGCGGACCGCTTGCGATGCGTTAAACATGTCCAGGCGGCCCGCAAGCATTTCCATGATTGAATTTATTTTTTCGTCTTTCTCCCATCTATATATTGTCATAAAATTAATTATAATAAAATATTATACTTATGTTATACCTACTAACAGATTTTTTTTTCTGACGAGTTACTCACTTGTCGGTGACTTATTCACACATGCAATTCGAACACACCGCGAGAAAATGAGTTTTTATTTCGCACTGAGTTTCGTATATAAAATCTTTTTTTTTTTTATAATTCTATTTTTTTGTTCTAATGTTTATTATTTACAGTACATGTTACAAGAGAGCACTGTAGCACAGGAGCACCTTATTTAGGTTACCAGGGTCCTTATTTTGTATTGCGCAACTTTCTGCCATTTGATTATCTAGCTAACTGACTTCAACTATTATGCACTGCTCCTTTATAATGTTGTTATGTTGTGGTTGTACAAATAAAGCATTATTATTATTATTACATATAAAAGAGTATCACTTAATGTGCGGCCCGCAAAAAATTGGTAAATTAAAATTGGCCCGTTGGAGAAAAAGGTTGCTCACCCCTGTCTTATACCATTACTACTGTTTGGTCTATGAAACTGATTTATCATACCTTCCTATATTAATTATTCAATGTTACTCGATATCTAAAGTACCTAATTTGTTATCTCTAACAGAACTTATTGAATTATTTGTAAAGGACTATCTATTTAAGAATAACCAATTATTTATCTACTAGTTTCTGCCTGTGACTTTGTCCGCGGGAACTTCATTGACAGAGTATAAAATGTAGTCATGTCCCTCTCCGTTCAAAACGCTACACGTGCACCAAATGTTATGACGATTGATCAAGCCGTAAAGGTGCGAAAAAATAAAAAACTAACTCACTTTCGCATTTATAATAATAAATAGCGACTAGCAGTTACTTGCAACTCTGTCTGTTTTTTTTAAATAAAAGATACAATATAATTAACTCGTAATACATGACTCTGTCTTTGTACTCCCGCTCTTTAGTCGCGAAAAGGCAATAAACAGACAGACAAAGGTGATCGCGGGTTCGATTTCTCTGATGAAGAAAACTTATTTTTTTGAAAATGAGAGTTTGTATCAGTCTAGGTGATTGATTGGTACATTTTTTTTATTAATATATACACAATATATATATATTAATAAAAAAAATGTTTTTACATATCTGTATCAGTTCCCGTGTACCCATAAGATGATGGGGCGCGTGAGTTGTCCTGGGTTGTTATTTTTATTAGTATTATAGGTAATATTACCTATGCCCGTATTTTCATATTGAAATCTGTGGCCTATGTGTTATTCTGATGTGTAAGCTATATTACTGCAAAGTTTTATCAAAACCAGTTCAGTAGTTTTTGCGTAAAAGAGTAACAAACATCCATACATACTCACAAACTTTTGCGTTTATTAAGAAATTTATATTTTTTGCAGGGTGTAAAATATCACTACGTAGAAAGCGGTCCGAAACATGGCCGAATAGTACTCATATTGGGCGACGCGCCTGACAATGGGAACCTATGGGGCCCAACATGGCCCACGGTGGTCAGGAGGCTGTCAGAAACTGGATATCATGTCATCAGTCTGGACCTCAGAGGCACGGGGGGCAGTGAAGGTGGCGCGAGATGGGACCTCTCACCACCTCAAGCGGTAGAGGAGTTGTCTGCATTAATGAGAGCACTTGGCGTCTCTCAGAACAAACCAGCTGTCGTAATTGGCTTTGGAATTGGCGGTATGTTGTCATGGTAAGCTTATTGTACTACTACTACTTACTTAGCCCCTCCGATTTATGTCCCGTCCAATTCAAACGGAGATACTACGACGGCCTGAGCCGAGGTTCGAACCCCTAGCGGTGCCCTCAGACTAAAGTCGTAGCCGTCAGGCGGGAGTTGGCGTTCAGCCGTTCCATAAGTCCTTCCACGGGTTTGGAGTGCCATCTGCACTCGCCCCCTATCGTCCGGTGAAGCTGTAAAGACCAGCTGCGGCCAACAGCATTAGAGTAGTCCGAAAAAAAAACTTTCTGTTAGATCCATACGTAATGAGAGGAAGGGATTAGTAAAAAGGTCGAGTCGTATTCATTGAACGGAACGCGAAGCGATCTTAGAGATCAGATTTGCACTCTTTAAATCTATCGATTCTCCTCCGAAACGCCTTGACCGATCGAGACCAAAATTTTATCGAAGATTCGAGTCTCCGTCGTGGTGGTCACACACACCTGGTGTGTAAACTACACACCGGCAACAAACTTAGTAATAATTCCTTCCTATTGCTTTCGACATTCAAATTCAAATTCAAATTCAAAAATCATTTATTCATGTAGGACATTTTAGCCGCTTATGAACGTCAAATTTTTACATTATAATTTTATTTTTTTCCCTACCGTCCAGTTCGGTATATAGATTCAATTGAGAAGAACTGGCAAGAAACTCAATTGAATTACTTTTTTTTTAAAGCCAGTTTATTTACAATGTATATTTATATAGGTGTCTATGTCTAACATTAAATGAAAATTCAGTGCATGAACAACTATTGCCATGCACACTCGTCATTCAAGTAATCGTTTAGTGAGTAATAGGCTTTGCTCAGTAAATATGATTTAACAGATGTTTTGAATTTATTTAAGGGTAATTCCAACATATCCTTTGGTATCTTATTGTAAATTTTTATACCTATTCCCATAAAAGACCTATTAACTTTTTCTAAACGATACTTGGGGACAGCAAGTTTGTCTTTAAATCTTGTATTAATATTATGAATATTGCTGTTTTTTGGAAATAAGTCAAGATTTTTATGAACATATAGGATATTTGAATATATAAATTGAGAAGCAACGGTGAGAATATTTGCCTCTTTGAATTTCTCTCTTAATGAGTCACGACTCTTCATACAGTAGATCGCTCGAACGGCACGTTTTTGTAATATGAATATATTTTTAATATCTGCCGCTTTTCCCCATAGTAATATTCCATAAGAGAGTAAACTATGAAAATAACTAAAATAGACTAATCTAGCAGTATCAGTATCAGTGTACTGTCTAACCTTACGCACGGCAAAAGCTGCTGAACTTAGTTTCGCTGCAAGGCTTTGAATTTGTGCACCCCATTGTGTTTTATTATCTAGTGTGATTCCTAGAAAGACAGTAGATTCTATAAATTCGAGAGATTCGTCATTTAATTTAATATTGCAATTAGTATTAAAACTTTTAGACAGAGAGAAATTAACACATTTTGTTTTTTTAGCGTTTAACATAAGATTGTTAGTTGTAAACCAGTGCAGGAGACGCCGCAAAGCACTATTTACATCGTCATAATTATTAGTCATTCTATTAACTTTAAAAATCAATGAAGTATCGTCTGCAAATAATACTATGCCGCATCTATCCTGCATGGCATATGGGAGATCATTAATGTAAACTAGGAATAAAAATGGACCGAGAATAGATCCTTGAGGTACACCCATTTGCACAAGTGACCCGTCAGACGTAGCGTTGCTAACCTTCACTTTCTGTATTCTATCAGATAGATAAGATTTTATTAAATTTAAAGCATTGTCTTTGACGCCATAAAAAGCAAGTTTTTTTAGCAATGTATTATGATCAACGCAATCAAAAGCCTTAGAAAGGTCACAAAAAACACCTATCGCATCCATTTTAGTTTCCCATGCAGCAAATACGTGTCTAAGCAACTCTGCACCTGCGTCTGTAGTTGAACGACCTTTGGAAAAACCGAATTGACTATTGTGGATTAAATTATTTAAATTGAAATAACTGACAAGCTGCATAGAGATTATTTTTTCAAAAATTTTACTGAGTGCTGGGAGTATAGATATAGGTCTATAATTTATTGGGTCACTCCTATCTCCAGATTTAAAAAGCGGTATGATTTTACTAATTTTCATTATGTTAGGAAATTTACCTTCATCTATACATTTATTGAAAATAAAAGCAAGAGAGGGCGCAATAATTTCCATTATACTATCTAGTATTTTAACAGATATACCCCATAGATCCTCTGTTTTTTTATTATTAAGCTGTTTGAATATTTTCATTATTTCTACTGATGATGTATGTCTAAAGTTAAATACAGCTGATGACTTGCTAACATTGTCTGTTAGTAAAGTTTCAGCAGCAGACGGGGAAGATTTTAGAGCCTGTGTCGTAATTAATGGAATATTAGTGAAATAAGATTCGAATGTATCCGCGACCTCTGTGTCGGAATTTACCAATTTGTTATTAATATTTAAAGCTATTTTACTATTTTGAAAATTAACTTTTCCAGTTTCGCTATTTATTACTTTCCAAGTGGCTTTTATTTTATCTTTAGATTTAGTTATTATTTTACCTAAATAGAGAGACTTAGCTGTATGACAAACCTTTTTAAATATTTTCGAATAAGATTTTACATGTTCATGAAATAAGGGATCGGATATATAGCTTCGTTTTTCGTAAAGTTCGTAAAGATTAGCCCTAGACTTATAAATACCAAACGTGGCCCAGTCACAAAACTTTGATTTTACACTAGTTGAAAAGGTTTTTGTTTTAAATTCACTGCTAGCTTCATGTTCAATTAAATTAAAAATATGTTCACATACAATGTCCGGGTCATATTGAGGTACTATGACACTAGATATTTTATGTTCAATTTTATTTTTAAAACGTGCCAAATTCTTTTGTGTTATTTGTCTGCATGTAATTGTTTGAGTCCCTTTGGATCCCTTAGTTTCAATTATAACTTTTTGTCCATAATGATCAGATCCAAGACAGTCGAAATTCATTTTCACCTTTACTTCACAATTACAAAAAACATTATCTATACAAGTGGCAGAATTTCCTGCGACCCTAGTGGGTTCTAAAAAAAGATTGTGCAAATTAAATGATTTAAATAAGTTAATCAATCTTAAGCTTATTGAGCATTCCGATAATAAATCAACATTAAAATCGCCACATACAAATAATGTTTTATTCCTCCGTGCGACTCGTCTCAATGCTTCCTCCATAGCCAGTTCAAAAGAATCAAAACAAGCCGATGGCGGACGATAAACGCAAATTATTATACAAGTAACTAATTCTACGCAAGATAGTTCAATTGTTTGCTCAATAGAAATATTTACAATGTCTTGACGGTTTTTATATTCTACATCATTTTTTAAAATAATAATTGACCCGCCATGAATGGCATTGTTCCTAGCAAAAAAACTAGCTATATTATAATGTTCAAAAGGACAAATTATTTCATATTGTTTAAGCCAATGTTCTGTCAGACATAACACCCGTACATTGTTAGATTCTAAGAATAGACTTAATTCTAATTCTTTGCTGGAGAAGCCACGAATATTTTGATGAATAATGACCATATCCTGTGGCTTAACCAATGTCGTAGATGTTAGTTTAAATTAACACATGTCACATTATTAGTATTATTACTAATATTACTAATTAAATCCGTTATACTACTTATAATGGGATCATAAATGTTATACGCTAGTAAACTAGCAATAGTCTTTTTTTGTTTTTTAGGAAGATAAAAATTACCTCCCGTCATATAATAATTTGTAACAAATTAGTTACTTTCAAAATAAAATATATCATTACAATGATATGTCATCGAATAAATTAAATTATTTATACTATAAATGAACTTATTCTGTTCATTAGTCAGGGATTGAGAGTAGGGAAATGCGCATAATAATATTTTACCTATACCAAGCTCCACTATATTATATAATGATTTTATTAAATTAACTATATCAGATTTACGCATATGCAAACAATTCCCTAACGCTATTACTAGGGTCGTGTGAATATCATATTTTTCATTTACTATATTTCTTATAATCTTATATATACCTGATCCCGGAAAACAATTATTTATTACTTGTTGCGAGAGACAGTTCGATAATAAACTACCTAAATCCTTGCCAAATTCATCTGAATAAATAATTGTTCTCCTGATGGTTTCATGTACAGTGCTGCATTTATTTACTTTTGTACTGTTTCGTGTGGGTAAACATGAAACGTCTGGTTCCGTGACGGATGAGATATCAATGTTCAACTGATTATGGTGGGACGGTTGGATATAGTTATCAGACTCTGGTGAATTACAGTGACATCTATCCGTAAGAGAAACAAACCGCTCCATGTTGTAGTTACCTAATTTTATTAAATTATCCAACTGATCAGAATATTCATGTATTTCATTCTTAGCTGATTCGTATTTCAAAGATAAATTGGACAACGAGTTCTCTAATAGTTTAATTTATTGTGATAATTCGTCTATTTCTAAATCTTTGTTATATATTTTTTCTTTACAATTATTTAATTCTATTGATAAGTCAATTTTTTGCTTCCTAGTAATAATTGATTTTAAACACTTTTTATGACTTTTCACTAAATTTTCTGATTTTCGAATAAATTTATTTAATTTTACATATTTTTTTAACTTATTACTACTATTAATAGGTACTTTATTAGGACTATAGGAGCTTGGTGTATTTGTCAAATCTATGGTCACAAGGGGCAGAGCAGATGTTTGATCACTAGTAGTATTTAACATTTCTGTATACAGATCCATGGTCTCGTTATAACTACTCAACCGCCTGTGATCCAACAAAGATTTATGTCATCATTTGATGTTTTTTTATGGATGTGCCCGCCTGCGCTAGCGGTTACGCTTGCGGGGCACCAGTGGAGGATGATAAGATGAACATGAGGAAGAATTTTTTCTTCATTGGGTCATTGGGCTCCCTA